CTAGAAATTGCTTCCCTTTGTGATGATCTAATTCATTCCCCCTTTTTCACAGTAAGTATCAGATTGAGCACGCTGACCAGCAATAAACCAAACACATGTCCAATGTGAACACTTCTGTGGTCCATCTGAAGTGAACCGAACTTTTCAAACTCATCATGTTTTTATACTTTACTGGTCCAGAAACATGAAAGAATTAGAACTACTTAGACAGTATTTGCAGGATGTTTCTCTTAGCCCATGTCTTCCTAGCCCTAATTTTCTTACAAAAAGGAACTTACTGGCTGTGCTATTTTCCTACTGCTGCACTATGCTGAAGCCTCAGGGAAATTATGCTACAAACTCCTTTGTTGCTTACAGTGACCATGTAAGCCCTGCTTCCTATTCATAGTGAGGAGCTAAAATGGTAAACATTCTGCTTCAAAGAAATTAAGATATGTAAACACATTCATTTCCCATCACCAGGCTTAGCCTGTGAACCCAAGGAATATTTCTATATCAATAGAATTGCACAAATGTATGCTATTCTTTTCAGCAGTACGAACTTGTGTTCTATCACTTTCATGATTCTCAAATACACACATATTCTGTACAATGCATTTGACACACTGCACTGCTCAAAGCTCCATTGTTAGTTTCCAATCTGAGTAACTGTGGAATTTTAGAAAAATGGAAGGACACTATAGAAAATGGAAAATGTTTAAAAACAATGAATACGGTCAAAAGACTTAGACAAAATAAAACATAAAACCTTATGTTTAGCAAATGTTTCACTTGCTCATACAAAAGTCTCTCCCAGAGCAACAAGAAAGCAAGAACCTTTCTCTCTTTCTGACTTTAATGGAAAAAAAAGAGAAGGAAAGCTTCCTTCAGAATTTTAAGATTTCTAATAAGAATTGTTAGATTGTCTATTGTAATTTGAACAAATGTCTTATTGTCTAAATAAAATAGACTCCACAAGAAACTCTTCATCTACTACAGATTTTTCAGGTGCTAAAGTTCTTTTTTGAATCCCCTGCTGGCTGAATCTGTTGTCCTTCCTTTAATATTAATACTGACATTTCTCTATTAATTCATTAAGAGCTTGTGACATGGGAAACAAAGACTCCATAATTACTATTCTTGCAATTCCACTTGTTTCTACTAACACTGAAACTTCTTGTACTACAGACTGTACAGACAAGGAAAAAAAAAAAGCAACAAAAAAAGTCTTTTTTCTAGAGCATTACATTTGAAAGGACAAAGCCGAAAAAGAACAGAGATCATAAAACATGCCTTTTTTCTTTCTTTCTTTCTTTCTTTCTTTCTTTCTTTCTTTCTTTCTTTCTTTCTTTCTTTCTTTCTTTCTTTCTTTCTTTCTTTCTTTCTTTCTTTCTTTCTTTCTTTCTTTCTTTCTTTCTTTCTTTCTTTCTTTCTTTCTTTCTTTCTTTCTTTCTTTCTTT